GCCTACCAAAACTATTACAAAAACAGAAACTATGTTATAGCTGCAATCAAGAGCCATTGCTTAAGTGGACCAAAACTATTACAAAATATTCACTATGTTATAGCTGCAATCAAGACCCATTGTGCAAGAAAATTTATCCCCTGTGAAATCGATACCATTCATCCATTAGAGTGGCACCAAGAAAATTTATCCCCAAGCATTGCAAGGCATAGCAGCTGAAACAAATGGAGAGCTCTATTATCACAATGTAACAGAAGAAAGGGGAAGCAGTCATGCAAAAACCAGCATATAATCAAGCTACCAGAAGCATCAGAATTACACAAGCTACCACACACTTAAGCAATTTTTCATATTCCAATGCAACCAAAAGCTCTCGTAAGTAGCAAATCTTAAACTATCTTACAGATTTATTGTAAATCCTGAATCAAAGCTTCAACTACTGTCTCCCTTTTGTGAAACTTAAAGCTTCGGAAAAATTTCTTCAGGAGTAAGTTCACTATAAAGAGTTCAATAACCAAAAGGGGCAGGAGTAAGTTCACTAGAAAAATGCCTCATAACCAACATAAAAGAAGAAAAAGGATGGAAAGATCCCGTGGAAGACGAGGGACTCGGGGTTTACAGTGTGGCCCCGATTGTTTAGCCGGCGATGGAAAGGATGGGTTTAGGGCGAGAAAATGGGTGTAGCCGTTGAAAGGAGCTTGGTGAAAGAGGTGAACTGAATAATTTGGGAGAAATGTGGTAATTGAATAATTTGGCGGAAATGTGTACACGCTTCCACTTTAATTCACCCACCTTTTGTTTTTTTTTTCTTTTCTTGGCTGCCACCTCACCACTTTTAAATTTTCTGTGAATCTTCTGTGAAGCAATTTCGGTACACCCAGCTCAATTCACCTTAAAAATACCACAACCAGTGTATTACACGGGTGTAAAACTAGTAATGTTAAAAATGTCATTGTAACGAATACTTAGTATTAGGTCCATCTACAGTGTGCAAGGCCATTTCAAACACGCTGCCATTCCAATCCTTCTCATTAATAGCCCAGCCCAAACCGTACCAGTCTTACCATCAACTGATCGATTCCCCACGGTGGCACCCCGCCGGCGACGGTTCCACCACCATCTCGAGGTCCTTAGCACTGAACTGACTCACTTTACCAATACCCTGAAATACACAAACATTTTGAAGAATTTGCATTCCTGTCCGAAGATTCGACTTCCGACAATCCTCCCAATTCCCCGATTGTACACCGATATTTTCCCCAGTAAAGGTACAGAAGCACCTTTTAAAGTGGTCTCATTAGTAACAGCAGATGATTTTCAACCCTCCACGCTCTTTTCATATGTGGGTTTCGATTGGGTTTATCATAGTTTTTAAGTTGTTTGATAAAATGACGCAAAGAATATATTGTTAATGTACTCTGCATTTATCTGTTTTTCTTTGCTCATATCTGATAAGAACAGTGTCTGGTGTAATTTTTAAATACTGGGCCGTGTTAAAAAAAAGAAAAGAAAGGGATAACCTTTTTCTTCTTTTGCATTAATCCTGCATTGGATATTGCCTTGATTCAATGTGGCCATTTCTATTGATAGGTTTGCAAATAACTTCAGCATAAAATGGTAGCCGTTTCTGGGTTAATTATAAATTCTTCAGGTTCGTCCCCCCACCCCCGCCCCGCTCCCCTCAACTCCATATCTACACACCTGAGCAAATATGCGTGATTTTATTTTCTATTTAGTTATTGAAGATTTCATTTTGGTTTTATTTACTCTTTAGGTGTCAACAATCCGGCTGTATGCATAAGTCATCCTAAGCTGCTATACCGGAATCATAATCCTAGCAAGTATTGGTTTAATAAATGTCGAAATGGTTTTGGTCTGTTAACCACAAGGGTAAATTATGCGGCTTTCATTTTTAATCTTACAAATTTCTGATTTAATTGTATTTTAAACTTTTTGCCTTCGATATTATGAGCAGATTCGTGGTGTTAGGGGCCAATATCATCTTCAACAGCATTCTGGCACAAAATGTTTTGTATCTGCAAGAGGAAATTATCATAGCTCAAGCTTCAATCGTGACTCTGATATAGAGCCTTTTTGGTTAAATATGATGAAAGAAGCTATCTGGTATCTTTTAGATAAGGAGATATAACAGTGATTTTGAACTTGGATAAGATACGAAAAATGCCATTCTTTTCCCAAAGCTATGAAATGTGAATAATAACTTGCTAATTGAAGATGTGCTTTTATGCAGGGCCATTAGAAATTTACTTGTATTTCTCGTTGAACAGCCAAGCCAGCTGAAGTACATAGAATGGCCAAACTTTCAAAGCACGGTTAGTATTTACATTGTATTAGCGAGAGGGAATCATCAAGGTATTTGCGTAAACAGGTATAATCCGTGGAATAGGTTTTTATCAAAGTCAAAGAAGTAATAATAATAACACTACGTACGCGGAAGAACCCTTTTTCCCTACAATGCAGTTGGAGCTTATCAGCAGAAACAAATTTAGATAGTCCTCTTTTTTCGACTAGATCAACGTGTTGTTGCTTCAAGAGAAAGCCTCATTGAAGTTTACTATGAATCTTTAGGTACTTATTATAAGACTTATGGACACTGTTTAATAGTAAGAAGTATAAAAAAATGCAAGAATTTTTTTTGTATACATTTGAACCATTGTTGATCATATTTCTCTTTATCGAGAAATTGAAGAAGCCTTTTCTCAGGCCTGTTCATACGGTACCTAACTAAGCTAAGTAATTCTGTAGCACCACTAGGAAATCAGGTTTCTTCATGTTTGTTTTATTTATTGATGGACCAGTTATGGATATACAGGACGAAGTCTCGTGATGTATGCTTTTGGGGGATGATATCGTGGGGGTTGATGAGACAAAAAGAGGAGTCATTCCTAAATGGAGTTGTGGAAGTGCGTGTTGAAACAAAATGATTCAAAATAATTGGAATAAGACCAAGTGCATGTATAGGTTTTAGGCAATTTAGAAGTACTTGCATAAACGATAAGATTGGAAGTCATAGAAAAATGAATTTTAGCATTTCTGATACTTACTCTCAATTTTTCGACACAATGTTCACAATGGATGTTATATCAATGCACCTTGTCAATTTAATCTAGGATTAATTGGTTCGCCTATTTAGACCTGAAAATAATTGATGTTGTATGGGTGATGTTGTACAATTAATGTTAGAGCTCAACTGTAATTCACTAACGAGCTTAACAGAGAAGTTAGTTGACGTGTTTTAAGGTGCTCTTAGTAAACCTTCTTTCATCATTACGGCCAACTCCTCCGACTTTCACGGCTTGACTAATTCAGCACTAACGGTGTATGATCTGTGTGGTGTACATTTCGAGTCTTGTGAAACTAAGTCAAGCATTTTTCACATGAAGTTTTTCGGTTAGTAAATTTATTATACGTGTGCTTAGTATAAAATTGTTAGGCACATTTATAACTGTCTAATTGAAGACAATTTATGGATGTTTAAGTGGACTGTTCAGTTTAAAGTTTGGATATTGATTTTAAACTTTTACGTCCTTACAGCAGCAAAACTGAGTTTTTCTTTCTGTTTTCCGTAGCTGAAGACTGCTACTCTGACCCTTGTTCTGGTCGCTCTGCTTATCATTGCACTTTCCTCCGTCGATTCAGCGCTGTCTTATCTGCTTGCCCTTCTTTTGCGGAGAAAGGCATGATCCACCACGAGTTATGGTTCCTTTCATGAATTGACATGCATCTTGAGTAGAAGCTCGGACCCTTGGTTACCAAGCATGGAGAATCAGAAGCCATACTGATGGCACCACTCTTTTGCTCATTAATTATAAGTTAAGTGACAAGAAATTGCTGGTCAAACATCATTATCGTCACATTTTGTAGGACTCATAACGTTTATTCACTTTTTATCCACACATTATGTGAGATCCGTAGTTTATAATATGCAAAAAAGCTTTACTAAACATGCACTATGTATGGTCCAATGCGGTTTATGGCAAGAGCTATGGTTGGAAATTATGTACTTTGACATGTGAAATTCTTAATCAATGGTTCAACGCTTCTCTCTCTCTCTCTCTCTCTCATATCATGCTTTTCTACGTTAATAGATTTCAGCTTTGAAAATCCAATTAAAATTGAAAATACAGTCGTTATTGGGTCCACTCGTCTAATAAAAGTCAACAATAACGATTAGTTTTTCAATTTTAATTCGATTTTAATCTCTACCGAACACATGTACAGGAAATCCGCTTTTTAGGAATATTGCAAAATTACATGACATTAAACTGAAGCCACGAAGATTCACCTCTAGAGTAGCCAAACACTTGTAAACTATTGGATTAAAATGGAACTCAAATCTCACAATTTGTGCTAAAATACCTTCTCAATTTTTACACATGTAGATAAGGAGATTTTTTTTTTAAGACGCATTGGGTTGCAAAAATGAAATAATATAATATTTTAAATTGTAATAAATAATTTTTAAAAATTGTGGGGGTTCGAGGAGGGGGGGTGGGGAGGGGGTCGGGAGACTTGTCTCTTCATTAAAATTTTAAATGGTAGTTTTTCTGAGTCCACACAATATTTGCATCAATCTAACAGCATTTATAATGGAAGTGAACTCTGGAATTCTTCACCACACATAAAGACCATAACACGGAGAGAAAAAGAACCAAAAAATGCAGATTCAGACTCAAATTTACACTCTTTGTTGCGCTCCTGTATTAAAAACAGCAGCGTTTTCAAGAAAACCAGTTGGTTTAATAGCAAACAAAAATGCGAATTTGGGTGGTAAGATTGGATTATATTATTGGTACTTTGCTTGTTTAGTAGATTAAATTTAACCCAAATATGTTATCAGTTTCCTTCTTGGGTGGAGATTCGAGAAGAAATTTATGGCAGCATTGGCGAAAGAAGAATGAATACCCCATAATTTCAGCTGTTGAGGAAGGAAATTTGGGAGCTCACTTACGAAGGAAAAGGTTTTTCGGCTGCTCTTTTTTCCCATTTGTTATAATTGATGTTCGGTACACAATCCCGCGTAGCAAATGTGCCATAAATTTATTTTGATGGATGTCTATTGTAGTATTTTTTACTCTTAGTATAAAACTATATGAAATTTCTTTTGTATGTATGATTGTTATGGTGAATTGGTTATTCATGTCCTTGTTTCCACTTCTTGCAGAGGAGTTGTTGAGCACATATGTCTAATCAGAGCAAAGGAAGATTTGTCCGAAGAACAAGAGAAAGATATGCTGGATTATCTGTATACGACGCAATACCAGATGCGTGGCATCATTGCCATATCATTAGGTGATCCTTATAAAATAGTTCTTTTGACTTCATTTTATTGATTATTGTGGCAAGGATTAGATGTTTACGAATGGAAAATTCAACTTTCTAATTTAGCTTTTTTCTTGGATTAGTGTCTCGTTTCATAATCAAAGAATGATCATCAAAACCTTGACCCAATCCAAGGTTTTCAATGCAATGTTTCATGGAGTCCTTGCCTTTACGAAGTCAAGTTATATAAGAACATCATCCTTAAAAATTTGATTGATGAAGAGATTAATTAGCCAATAAATGAGCTAAACACAGCTTATTTAACTATTTTTGAAAATTTAATCCCTTTGGTAAAACAAGAAAATAGTCAATCAATTTGCAAACAAGATCCGCTTTTAATCGTTTAGTTCAACATTCAAGCTCTTTATTCTCTACATGTTTACGTAGTGTACAGATTGTAAAAGTGTATAATGTATCTCTCTGAAGTATATAAATCATAGTTATTAAATGCACAAAGCATATTGGGCAGCCAAGGAGTCATGGGGGATAACCTCAAAGTGATGTGTGCTCTTGATTCTATTGAAATGCAAACTATATTTCTAATGAAAAAATTCTGTATATAAAATGAAATTTCGTTATAATGTAATAAAACCTAGGAAGTTGTAGTAAACTTCAGAAAATATCAATTAGTTCGACTGGAAATTTGAGCAATATTAACATCGAAGTAATTCTTGGATTAATAATTCTATGCATTTCATAAAATAAACAAATTTCAGTTAACAGAATAAGACTACCATATAACAATTGAAAAGAAAATTAGTAGTTCAGACGAAAAGCTTAATGGTTTCATAAATTATTCGTGTTTCTTCTGCTTTTGGCTTTTTTCCCTTTAATGAAGCCCTGCGCTTCAATACTAAAAAAGCTACAAGGGCGTGCCTTTGCTGCGTTTCGCGCACAGGTGTGCTTTTAGAAATTATATTCTAAATGTGACTTTTTAAATCTTGTAGGACGTATTTCTAATCAAGGTCTTGAAAAATATACCCATGCCATCTTCATGCGTTTCCAGACAAAAGAGGACATTTCCAAGTTCTATGAGAACCCTTTCTATATGGGAGTTCTTAAGGACCATGTGATGCCTTACTGCCATGTATGCCCTGACATGTAAACACCAATATCTCAGTTCCTATCTATTTCCTTTAATTTCCCTTCTAATGTAGCCTATCTTCATGTTCCTGTCGTTATTGAGATTAACTATATTCCATCTACACAGGCAGTTGTTGATGTTGACTATGAATCTGAAGTAGAAGACGACATCCTGCCTATATTTCGGAAAGGAGAGGTCGGAAGCAACAATTGCACTAATCTCTTCAAAATTGCTGTGATTCCAAGATTATTAGTTTTTGTTCCATCTTATAGTTGATATGTCATGAGAAGTATGGATTTAGCTATTTTCTTGTCCAACTAATTCTTGATCTCACTTTTCACTTCTGCCCCATTCTGTCGTAGCAGTCATGATCATTTGGTCATGGATTTCTTTTGCTGGCAGGAGTTCAACTATGGGGTTGAGTCTGTGGTTCTTATATCATTTAATAAGAGTTCAATAGGTCGACCTGCACAAGCTGCCCTGGATGCTCTCGCTAATCTGACACTGGCGTTCCCTTCCTTAATTGTTCAAGCTACTAAAGGTGTGGTTTCAAGTTATATACTTTTTTATTAGCTGAGGAGGTAGTTAAATGTGAAAGACTCCAGTTCACCGATATTGTCTCATTCAACTGCTTAAGGCCATTTTCTGTAAGAACTAAGAAAATAGTGCTCTTGTAGTTCTGATTGTATTTATTCTCAGCATTATTCACGTAAAGTTATATACATGATATCGTTTTATTTCTTTTACAGGTCGAAATATTAATAATAGCAGTAAGGAATATACTCATGGGGCAGTAATACGATTTCGATCATGTGAGCTCTCTGTATTCTTCATTATGTACTCAGTTGCAAGCAATTATATCTTATGGATTATGGGTTACTAACTATTGGTGCTTACTATCAGTCGAGGCCTACGAGATATTTGTGAACAGTTCAGAATACACAGATGTAAGGAGCCGAATCTATTGGCTTGTTAAACTTGTACAAAATTCCTTTTCTTTGACATTTTGGGTGGGATTTGGATCTCATGAGTAACTAGAGTATGAGTTTCGATACCCGTTACCTTATATGAGACTATGAAGTTTACATGGGAAAGAAGATTTGGATCATGAGCCTTGCTAAATATTCTTGATGCTTGAAATAGAAATTAGTTACATGATGTAGAATTTACTTGTCATTTTACGACAATTTCAAAGTTTTGATTGAGATACTAGGAATATGATTCTGACTGGTTCAATGAATTGGAAAAAGCAGATGTGGAACTCTAAATTCCAGCCCATCATCCAAAAAGCTTTCTATGTCAATTTTTCCGTAGATCCAGTCGGCAAGGAGCTCATGTAACAAGGTCTGATTCCTTTTACTTTGATTCTACCTATTTCTTTCAAATGAGTTCCATTCAAAGAATTTAAACATTGAATCCCAGGACAAGGAGGCACCATCTGAATCGCCTCTCACCAGATGGTGGCTTTGTGTTTATTCAAATCCTTTTTAACTTCTTCACTTATTTCAGGAAATTGTACTTGGTGGATCACTGAATGGAGTCTTAGTTGGCTACATCTATGCTGACCTAATGGAGTTGGTAATTGCATCCGGAAGATTTCTATTCTCTCGACCATTTTATGTAAGACTCTTTTTTTCTTCGAGTTAAGCATAATACGAAGGTGTAGTAGAAATATACCTACAACGTGCACATTATTGTGTATCAGTATAAAATTTAAGTACTCCAAGGGATTTTTGTGAAAACCACATGCTTTGAATCATTTGAACATTTCCTCTTGTTTCATTCTTCATTTATGAATGAAATAAAAGAGTGCACCGTGTATAGCATATATCTCGTCCATTCATCGACTTTGATCTGCATGCATAAAATAGAATGTCAATTGCTCATTTCTTTATGTTAGAGTTTGTTGGAGTACTTGCTGCAGACCCGCTAACGGATGCTGCTAATCTGCACTTGAAATCTCATGACACCCACAGGCTACAAGTTCAGGACTTTTTTAGCTTTCAAAGTCTGAGAAACTCTGAAAAGTCCATTTTTAAATCTTTTTTTTCCTTGGTTAAATGGGTGGTTTTGTGTGGATGTGGTAGGATGGGGAGTGCCGATTGTAGTACTTATGGTGTAAAAGTGGTTTGAGCTGCCTAGGCCGAGGGCAGCTTGGCCTAGAAAAGCAGACTTGGTTCTGTTGACTGTAGGCCCATGCCAGCTGGCCGGCACAGGTCAACAGAAAAATATGATCTCAAATAAAAATATTAAAACAATAACACATTTGGTCTGTAGGCTCGTCTCGGCCTGGCCCTCCTTGGTACGGACCTACAGGCCACTGAGAAATGTGGCTGCCCAGCCCTCTACAAAACCTGGATCAATCCACGCCTGTAAGCAGACCATTTAGGGTCTTTATGCAACTGGACCAGCCTGGTTAGGTCCACCTCAGGATGGGATCCATACAAAATCTAAACAGACCCAGGCATTTGAGCAAGGCGTCGTGCCTCTTGTCTACCGGTCCGACTCGGTCTGGTTCAAATGACACCGCTGCTTGGATGGGTTTGTACCTGCCCCCTGCATATCTTTATTGCTCTGTATTACTGTATTAGGAAGTTATGCTCATAATACCAAGGTTTGACCTCTACAGGTAAGACGTTGTATAATGTCTATTATAATGTCTATACAATTAATTTCTCAAGGACCAAAAATGCCAACCATGTGGCCCTCCCAGTGCTCCCACAATAATATATTAAGTCTTGCCTAAATGCTTGTTTATTAATCTGTTTGACTTCTTTATAATCGGCTTCTGTTCTCTAATCTTTTTATATATTCAAGTCGGTGACTAATTCCAATATGATTGGCTGTTGAATGTACTTAGATGTATTAGTTTTGGCACATTATTCTCCCCTTTCCACTTATTTTTGGCCCTACTATCCCCTAATACTTATGCAAATCTTGAACTTCCATTACTCTTGACTGGACTAGATCGATACACGGCTTTCAGTCCTTGAGATCCACTAGTTTGGCTAGTCGGACATGGCCTAAGTGTTTGTTTGGTGAACAGTACTAATTGCAAGATTGTAACTTATTTTCTTGTCGAATTGTATGACTCGTCTTGTAGAATCAAACACAATCCCATTCTTTTAGTCTATTTATATCCACAGTAAGTGAATCAATTGTATATCGACATCGTGGCTATGAAAGAAATAAAAAAAATCATAATATTGCGAAATATTTCGAATTTCATCGATATGTATAATAAATCTCTAATAAAGGTAAGACTATTGACTATATCTTGTATAATTCATCTTGTTTGCATCTTTGACTTGTGTATACAACCAAACCAAAAAGAAAATTTATCAACATCTAATATACATTTCTACATGGAAAAGAAAACTGGGGCAGCTGATCTAAGGTGCTCACTATTTATTGCAAAACTTCTTGTGAGATCCAAGACCTGTTGGAACAATGAAGAAGCTACTCAATTGTGTAGAGGATTTGGTCCTCCCGGCGTTTTACGAGCGGAAACTCTGTAGCTTGCGTCGTCCTCTCGAGTTCTTGATTTCTTGGGAGCTTGTACTGATGAATACCAGGAAAATTGTGACTGCAACTCTGCTGTAGGTTTCTGTGGGGTGGCTAGAATGGCATCTCTGTGGATGTTGCGGCCAGTGGAGCAGTGGCTGACGGCGAGTAACACCGCCATGACTAGCAGAAATGGGATGGGCGAATAATGAATTTTCATGGGTATAACGTATCAGAAGAGGATGATGGTTGAAATGAGTTCTCTCTTCGATATAGACGGGTATGAGGATTATTAATATGGCACCAAACTACTCGTTTGTCGAGTGAAATGACAAAACTGCCCATAAAATTCTACCTAAAATAGTCAAAACACTAAAATTGGTGCAATTATTTATTGCCTGTCTGAAATATGTTTGCCTCGTTTGTGGATTCGTTTTGACTATTATGCATTTTTCTACCTAATTATTCACTATGACTTTCTTGAATCTTGATTATGTTTACATGTTGAAAAATTAAATATAGTAATCCCGTCTTTGTCCATTACTCACCTGATGTATTTCTTAACAAATAGTGAAACTCGTGTTACTTCTTGAAACTTCAATTGTAACATACCTTCTTTGAGAGCGTCTCCTACTGGTGCGATGAATCGAGTAAAATGACGGGATTTGACAAGATTTGTGTCATCTTAATGGTTTCAAGAAGTGTGAAATAAGTACTAAATTGCAAACCCTTTTGCCGATGTTGGAGAGTTTGACTTGTAGCAATAGGAATCATTCATTTTTTCACATTTAAATCTGATAAATAATCTTTGTTATAATAACTTATTTTTAAGACTTATGGTCTCATTTGCCGACAGAACAGGACCAGCGAGTGTTTCTCACTATTATAAGGTTTCAATTATTATAATTGTTCTTATTAAAGTCATAGGAAATTTATTGATATATTAAATTTTGTACAAAGTTGTCCCTATTATAAATTTGATTGTTCCAACTGATAATTAATACTAAGAAACATTGTTTATTGACAAAATTTGGCGTCCCTTCCGACGTGCAATGCATTGAACAGAAAATGAGTATGTATTGTAATGAAATGGTCCCCTAGGGTATTTATTTTTGTAATATTCTTGAGAGAGAAGCAACTTGAGTATATATATAATAATGGGATTTGACAGCATTTATTTGAGATGAATCGACCTCGATCAATTGCACACGAGAAATTCTTGAATTTGAATGGGATGGACTGTCGGTCCATGAAGAATTATGACTATCGTGAGGCTCGATTGTAATGATCCTAATTGTTTCTCACATCGAGACTAAGTCTATTTCGTTAATTGTTCCTAGGAGTTCATAAACACCTTGGTAAAAAAAAAAAAACATTTTCGATCAAATAACTTATTATCCATACATTTCATAGATCCTATAAGTACTAAATACTTCTACACCACTTATTTGCCCTCTTTATAAATATCTTGTCAGACGTATTCTAAAAGGGACATCATCTCTTCTTACAAGTCAATCTTAAAGATTAGTTTAGGGGTTTAAAATCGAACATTCTCTCGTCTTAAAGTCATTTTTAAGAGTGAGCTTATTCGATGGTTGTTACATATTTTTAGGTTCAATAGCCAACTTAGTGTGATTTATTAATTTTTCCAACTTGTTAAATAATGTAGGCATGATTTACGAATTATGATATCATTTACATTGGATATTGCGTCATGTAAGATATAAAATTCATGCAAGCACGTGATTATTTTCGAATTGACCTAACACGTAATTATCTATTTTTTTTCTTGTGAACGGACTCTAAATTTCAAGATTGTTGTCATTTCGTTTGACCAGACCAAAGGGATAGAATAAACAATGGGATTTATACTTTGATTAATCTTTAAAAATTAATATCAACATGTCCCACAAATTAAAGCTTCTACACCAATGGTTTAAAACTAGGACATGTTGGTACGCTAAACACCATGACATATGTGCGAACGCCAAGAAATTAAGGCAAATTAGTGTTGATAAGGAGTGACGAGTGCTATTCAGTATTCATAGTCAATGATCGTCATAGTTATCCTAGATGATAGTCCTACGTTACACATTGTTAATGAAATCATGTATATGTATGATTAATCATGATGATAAAGTGATATAGAAATAATATTTTATTGAGAATTTAGATCGGCGTTGAAAAAAAGTAATTTTTCATAGTATCCATTTTCGATGAATTTCGTGTGAAAAATGGTCGAACAAGTAAAAGTCAGCGACTTTTTCCCTGATGTATGGCCTGTTTCGATCAAATTTTATCGTTTAGGGCTCTGAAAACACTTTTTTTATTCTTTTATTTATTTTTGGATAATTTTGTTTTCTTTAATAAATTCGAATTTCAATTCCGTTTATTGTGAATTAGTTCTGAATATTACTTTTAAATTTTTTTTTATATTAGTATAAAAGTTAAAATATCGTACTAAACAAAATAAATAACTTGAGCACAACCAAACATTTTGGTTAATTAACTAAAATTTGTAGTTTCTTCAATTATTATTATTGTTATCCTTATTATGGGCATATGAATTTTATTGTTAAATTTTGTACCAAGGTTGAGAGAGAAGCAACTTTATTTTATGAAAATATGGTTGGTCAAATTTCAATTAATGCTAGGACACACATATTTCAGAAAATTCATATGGTGTGTACGATATGTTTTGTACCATGAAAATTTAATTTTCATCTTCTCGATGTTTGAGCCACATTATTCTCCCAATAAATAGTGTTTTGATGAAAAATATGTGGTTAAAAAATAAGAAATTTTTTTGAATTTATGTGTAATATTATTTTATTAAAAAATATGTGGTTAAAAATAAGAGAAAAAATGTATTTTAGAAGGATCAGTATCGAACCTGATGTAAAAATTGGTTACTTTGAGTTAATGCTCGACTTTAATTTCTTCAAATTACGGTTCTAAAGTCTCCCAACATACAAAAGAAGGGAAGGACGGGGATGACGAAGAGCATGGAATAGGGGTTACGAAGCTTTGAAGCATATTTTGCATAATTGCGAAAAAGACTTCTCAATTTCGGCGTACAATACTAAAATTTTAAAATCTCTTTCTATTGGCTAGTTTGAATATGGTTAGGAGCCAGATATCTGAAGAGTATTTTTAGTATATACATATATTGCATTGTTCTCAATGTTCGTAAATCGGATTAATTTATGTGGAAATTACATGGAGCCCTACAACTGGAGATCCAATTTCTAAAATCAGAAATTCTTTTTTTTTTTTCAAAAGTCAGAACTTTTTAAAATAGATACAATATAATTATACAT